GCACTAGAGAATATTATGATGTAGCAGCTGGTGACTGCTGTAAATTGTATGACAGTCCTTGATTGGACCAATGATTGGCATCTTAAATGGTGGATTGCACCAACCAGAATGCAATGAAGAATTAAACTCTCTCTACTGTCTTTTGTGCATTTCTCTCCCTCTCTACATTCTTCTCCCCTTCCCTTTTGTTCTCTTAATCTCTCCCTCTCGCTCTTCTAACTCAGCCATAGTGAACCATAATGAGTCAGGCTTCTAACAAGAAGTTGAATCATAACCCTTTACATGAAGAACGCAAAGTCTCCAAATTGCACAAGTGAAAGTCTTGCCATGAAAACTAGAATAATGTTAAGATGAGTAAAAGGTACTTGTATGTATATACACTTGAAGAGTCCAAGGTTGAAACTATTATTAAAATGAGGAGAAACATTAAAAGGCTTAGGGATGTAGAGCAAAGAAAGCATAACATCTAATACTTGATCATTTAAATTCTTGAAAAACAGGAAATTCTAAGAGTTGTCCATTGTGTTGGTTGATGAAGTGCCACCTCTCGAGGAACAACCACATTAAGGACCCTTTCTCTTTCCTCTCTATCTCTCTAAAATTCTCTCTAGCTTTTGCGACTGTATCCAACCAACCAAGACCACCATTTCTTCTTCTTCTTCTTGTCTCCTATTGTTTTCAACGAACATAAATAACTGTGCTAACGCTTTAAACATTTTTCGGCTGACCGAACTCTTATCCTGTCCCCATAATGTCTTCAACTAGTGCCAAAAGATTTGTACTTATTGGGAGAAAATCCTTCAATATTGTCTGTGATGGAAAGAACCTAGACGGACTGAGAATCTACGAGAATGGAAGAGGCAACAGATTCTCCATTGCGCTCAACAAAAAAAAGTCGATTGGATAGTTGAAGGTTTGAGCGATTTTTACTGGAACAAAGGCGGAAAAACCTGGGGAAGAAACATAAAAAGTGAGAATCAACATCTCTTTATTGCCATGGTCTGGAACGAACGAGGCCGAAATCTTGTCCTCTCGGAAGAAAATGAAAAATCAGTTAAGAGAATCTTCTTTCCTGATGGTTTTGAGGTTGGGGGCTGGTGGAAAATCATGAAAGCTATTTTCGAGCTTACCGAAACTCCCCTACAAAACCCTTTCACAGCTCCCACAAACACTAAAAAGCCTCCTTCATGTTTCCAGTAGCCACCAGTAGATGCATCTTATAGATTTCTTTATGCTGTCCTACCTGCAAAAGCAGTTTCAGCATTCTTTTTGCAATGGTTGGCAAGAAATCATACGCAGAACTGTTGAAAACCAATATAGTCTGCCTTAGTCGGGCGAAGGAGAAAGTACCTGACCCGTATATGAAAAACTCGATTTTTGAAATTCAAATTATAAACCACCGGGCAGGAATGCTTCCAAAACAATTCCGGTCCAAACTATAGTTTAGAAGCCCAAATACTCATCACCTTCAGATAGGAAAGCAAACAATCCAGGACTCAAATACACTTAAGCGGGCCTAAGCTTAGTCCCAAACAAGAAGAGCAGCCCAATCAAGAAAGCGCTGAAGGTAAATTGGGTTTGGAGAAAAAAGAAAAAATCCACGAACTCAAACCTGCACACATGTCCAAACCTGCTGGAAGAAACTCTGCAATTCTCGAGCAGAGAAAATGAAGAAGAAAATGCAGCAACCTAGAACCCTAAACAGACGCCTTCCTGCGATTCATCTGAGTTTCAAAAAGGAATTGGGAGGCCTGAATGTGATCTTGCCTTGACTGTGTTTCTCTCAAACAGATGGCAAAATGAAATGTCATCAATCCCTAACCCAGGTATGAATTTAGATGAAGTTTCTCAATTAGGATTGATGATACATGCACAAGGACCGAACATAGGGATGGAAATGGTGATACATGCTTAAGAACAAACGCCGATCGGAGAAAACATTCTTCAGAATGATAAAATCAGGCACATTGAAAAAATTATAGCCTCTCTTCACAAGCTGTTAAATGACAACAAAAGATATGACCCTATACTATTTTCTGAATGGATTGCACAGAATATTCTATGCATCAGTGAAGAGTTAGGTACTTTTTTCTTTGGTTATGAATTGAAAACACAACCTATTTTTTGACTTACAAATGAAAATAGAAGGAAGAAATTCTGAGCCTTTCTTATTGCAATCGGGAAAGAAGAAACAGAACGAAAATATGTCAAAAGAATTAAAGAGACTCCATTCCTCCATAAACTATGATGGACACAACAAGAAGACCAGGGCATCAGGTGATGAAACCAAAATTATCAAATGATAGAAAAAATCCTATCTTGAAATGTTAGAGGTTTAAATGACCAGAGAAAGAGAAGTATCATTAGAGGCTGTCTTAACAGATGAAAACCTTCAATTGTTTGCCTCTAAGAAACAAAAATGGAAATGATCATTGAGAAGATAATTAAAAGCATTTGGCGAATGGACGAGGTGCGATGGCAGTTTCTCCCTGCCAAAGGGTCTGCTGGTGGGATCTTAATTATGCGGAGAAAAGATCACGCTCTATGCTACAACTTCCTTTCAGGTGAGACCACTCTGTCATGTCTTTTTTCCAACTTAAATAATGGAATCCCTTGATATTTTTCTGGTGTATACTGCAGGGGTAATAATGATGAAAGGACAAAACCTGGTGAAGAATTATCTGCTATCAGAAACTTATGGGGCAATAGAGGTGTTGTCGAAGGTGATTTCAATATGGTTTTAAGAAGTTCTGAAAGGACAGGCAGAACTATGTCTTCAAAATCTGATATAGAGGAATTTCAAAAGTTGATTGACAATTTGGATATCAATGATCTTCCATTAAAAGGGGGCAGGTGATCTTGGAGCAATCAAAGGGAACATCCATTTTATTCAAGAATTGACAGATTTCTGGTTTCATCCGACTTGCTTCTTGAACTAGTTTGGATCAATCAAAATGTGCTCTCTAGACCTACTTCAGATCATTTCCCAATCATGCTCTCCTTTAACGGAATCAAATGGGGTCCTATTCTATTCAGGCTTGATAATAAATGGCTGGGTAATGACAGCTTCAAATCCCTAGTGATAAATGTCCGGACTCATACTCATATTTCTGGCACCATCAGCTTTAGGATTGCTCAAAAATTAAAAAGACTTAAAATGGAAATCAAAAGTTGGGCAAAAAATGCAAGCATAATGGAAGAGGAAAACATCAACGACATCCTATTGGAGATTGATTTTCTTGACAGAAAAGAGGAAAATGTTTCATTGTCTGTAACTGATACAAATAGAAGGAATCTCTTTGAAAACTGATTGAAAACTACATTTAGAACCAATTTCTTGGAAACAGAAATCAAGAGAGAAACGGCTTAGAGATGGGAATAAGAATTCTAAATATTTTCACATGTTAACTAACCACAGAAGAAGAGTAAATTTTGTTGACGAACTTATTGTGAATGACAGATACATCAAAGGTAATGAAGCTTTGAGAGAATGGGCAAAAGAACTCTTTCAGAAATTGTTTTGTGAAGAATATAACTACAGACCCAATCTTGACAATCTCCCATTCAACAATTTAAATGATAGTGAAAGAGATCAGCTTGAAGAAAAATTCACTGAAGGGGACAAAGCCCTAGGTCCGGATAGTTTCAACATCAAATTCCTTCAATCTTTTTGAGACATCATCAAATGTGACATATTAGCGTTATTCAATGATTTCTACAACCACAACACTTGTGTAAAATCACTAAACTCCACTTTTCTTGTCATGATTCCCAAAAGACCTCAGTCAAAGAATTATAATGGTTTTCGTCCTATAAGTCTCATTGAGTGTATTTACAAATTTGTTATTCAAAGTACTAGCAAAAAGATTGTCAAAAGTACTAAAGAACATCATTGAAAACTATCAGCACATATTCATTCCTGGGAAACAGATTGCTAATGCCATTTTAATTGCTAATGAAACAGTTGACGAAGCCATTAGACTAGCAAACAGTTGACGAAGCCATTAGACACAACAAGGAAGGAATTCTGTGTAAACTTGACATAAAAAAGGAATTTGATCACGTAAACTGGAATTTCCTGGATTTTATGTTTTTGAGACTTGGTTTTGGACCCAAATGGAGAAGCTAGATAAAAACATGTGTTTCCACTACTAGTTTTGCTGTGATCGTCAACTGCAGACCCTCCACTTTTTTCAATGCCTCTAGAGGTCTACGGTAAGAGGATCCCCTTTCTCCACTCTTATTCATTATTGTGATGGAGGCACTGAATCAACTTATTGAGAAAGCAAAATCACTGAATTTGATTAAAGGGATTTCTATAGGTAATAGAGATCACAAAACGAAAATTTTTCATTTTTTCTTCGCTGATGATATACTAATTTTCTGTCAACCGAATTTCATCTCCTTCATCTTCCTAAAATGTATTATACTATGCTTTTAGGCTGTCTGCAGTTTAAATATAAATCTTTAAAAATCTGAAATGGTTTTGTTAGAAAACAGCTCCAGAAATGAAGATTTTAGTGTGGTTTTGGACTGCAAGCAGACACAATTACCTATCACTTACCTTGGCGTTCCTCTTGGCACCAAGCACAATGATAGTAATTGCTGGGAACCTGTGATCGATTTGTTCAATAATAGATTATCTACTTGGAAGAAAAAATTTCTATCAAAAGGAGGTAAATTGATCTTGATTAAAAGCACACTCTCCAATCTTCCGATTTACTTTTTATCGGTGCTTAACATACCAAATAAGGTGGCAAAGAAAATAGAGCAGATCCAATGTAACTTTTTTTGAGGTGATAGTGAAAATTACAAGAAATACCACTTAGTGAATTGGTTGGAGATCAAAAAATCTTTAAAAGAAGGGGGTTTGGGACTAAAATCAATAGTCAAACTAAATAAGGCACTTCTTGGTAAATGGATTTGGAGATATTGGAATGAAAATGACAGACTCAAAATAGTATAATGACAATCCACAAAATCTTTCTTATATTAAAAACAACTATGGTTATAATTTATGGAAGAACATCATCACATTAAATAATGCGATATTTCAGTGCTCAAAATGGATTGGTAATGGGTTCAAGGTCCGTTTCTAGAAAGATTTTTGGTGTAGTTCAGAAAAATTAAAAGACAAATATCTCCTTATCTATGGGATTGCTAGAAACAAAGCTGTCACTATAAATGATATTGCTGGTTCAGTCATTCCTGCCTCTTGGAGTGTCACAGTGATGAGGAACCTTCAAGATTGAAAACTAGAAGGTTATCAATCCTTACTTTACTTATTGGCAAATATATAGTTACAAAATTAAAACGATAAACTGCATTGGAAATTAAAAAAGAATGGTCTTTTCAGTGTTAGCTCTCTTTATTCTTTTTTGGCCGGTCATAATTCTAATGAAAAATATCTTTTTCCCTCAAAAATCATTTGAAAATTGGGTGCCCCCCCTAAGAATTGTTTTTTTTTTTGCTTGGGAAGCTGCAAAAAGAAAAATCCTCACAATAAACAATTTGATGAAAAGAGGGCATACTACTGTCAAAAGGTATTTCTTATGGAAGAGATCTCTTGAATCATTTAATCATTTACTATTGAAATGTCAAATATCTCACAAACTTTGGAGCGTGATACTTGAGCTTTTAGGGATCTTTTGGGTAATGACAGATTTTGTTTATTGCAAACTTCCGGTATGGAAAGGTCTGAATAGTAATAAAGCGCTTAGATTAATTTCTCTTACCATTTTCTGAATTTGGAAGCAGAGAAACAACAGGGTTTTTGAGGGGCTCGAACAAGACTTTAATAACATCAAAGATAAATGGTTTTGTTAGTTTGCCTCTATTGTTTTAGAGCATAATTTAGAATATTTTGAAAATTTAGATTTTATTGTAAATATGCTAATTGACATGTAAATTTTTTGTAAATGGGTGGTGCTCCTTTAGCACCTCACATTAATACATCTTCTCTTCTTTTATTTAAAAAAAAAAAAAAAAAATGAAGCGCCAACCTCTCTATTTATTAAATGTCTTTGCTGACAATGTCTGTTAGTGTTGCCAAGAAGTTGGAGTCTATTCAATACAGGTTTTATAGGGTGTCCTAAGGAGCAGAGGAGATATTTTTAGTAGCTTGGGATGTGGTTAAACAATCGATCTAACACGATGGTTTGAGTTTGACATCTTTGGTTGAGGTTAACAAGGCTTTTCTAGGAGATGATTATGGGGGTTTGCGTTGGATGGTGATAGTTTGTGGAGGAGAATAGTAAGTGCTAAATTTGGCATGGGAGGATGGTTGGTATACGAGGATTCTTTCTATGCTGCATGGTATTGGTTTGCGGAAGATATGCATGGGGAGAAAGGAGTTTGTGAAATGCATTAAGCTCCAGGTTGGATCTGGTGAGAGTAAGATTTTGACATGACGAGTGGTTATATGGTGGAGCGCTCAAAACTTGGTTTCTCTGGATTTCTGTTCTTGCGCGATATGATGATTCCAAGGTTCAAAAGGCTTTCTGAGGCTTGGGGGAGAAGTACTTGTGGTTTGTGGAGGTTTCTAGGAATCTAAATGATTGGCAGGTTGATAAGTACGAATCTCTTCTGTTTTTTTCTTTCCAAATGTACTCTTAATGGAACGAGGACCACCCATTTGGAGGCTTAACTTCAAAGGGTTCTTTGTTGTTGAGATTTTTTACATGCATCTGGCCAAGAAGAATGGAACTAGTATGGAACTGCCTGCAAAGCTGTTCTGGAAGGTAAAGATGTCTCATAGGGTGGCTTTCTTTTGCTTTGGAGGTTGCTAGAGAGTATCCTAACTTTGGATGAATTGACTAGCAAGGGAAAAACTTTGATTAATAGCTGCTACTTGTGCTAGAGTGATGCAGAATCATGTGGCCATATCCTACTGTCCGTTTGCCTATCATTTGTGGACATTAGTGGTATCAACTGGGTAATAGCTGGTTTGATGAGGGATGAGATTACGGCATGGAAAGGGGCCTATAAAGAAAAGAGGTCTTCAAGTCTTATTCCCTCAGTTACCTTCTGCATTATCCGGAAAGAAAGAAATATAAGAGCTTTTGAGGTTACTGACTCGAATTTTGATCAATCAAAAAGTATTTGGTTCTAGACCTAAGTTTTCTTTTTATCAAGGATCATTCTCTTAATTCATGTGATGATTTTAACGCTTTATAGATATTTTGCATGATATGTGAATCATGTATTTGGGTTGCATCCTTTGGTATTTTTGAATAGACGATATTTTTTCTTTCAAAAGAAATGTTGGTGGATGAAGGTGATAAATAGAAATACTACGTGTGACAAAAGGTTCTAAAGGTGGGAAAAATGCTAGCAAGGGAAGATCATCACCCCAGATATCTTCCTAGAACGAAATCTGGGAGCCATTTCCTACCCTCAAAAGAGAAAGAGGAATGAAAAGGTCATAGAGCTGAGAAATGACTTTCTAGAGGCTTTTGAGCTGTGGTTCTCCTAGCTTTAGAATTCCAACTATTCCTTCACAATTGATGCTCATTCTTGATCACTCTTTTCTACAAAGAAAAGATTCATGAGGGAAATACCTATAACAATTTGGTCAATAAAGAGAGGTTTTTAGATATCAAATTCATAGTACCTATGCCACCATCTTTTCTATAGGATGAATCTCACCTGCATTAAACAACGAAAGTTTCTGATAATCCTCTTGGTTTTCATAACTATCCCCCTTGGGATTGTAAATAAAGAATATTTAACAAAGAAGCTTGAATAAGACTTATCTTATCTCCTAGAGAAAATACCCTGCCCTTCCAACACCCTATTCACCTAGAAACCATATTCACCATTGGATCCCATAATGACTTGACCCAAGAGTTGGCCCTTATGGGAAAAATGCCTAAATAGATACAGGCCAAGATAAAATGCCAGACTCAATAAGCACAACAAGTCTTCTATTGGCAATGTCCTCAGTATTAATCCCCACAAGGCCACTCTTGTTAAGATTGATACATAAACCAAAAATGCACTTAAAAATTTACAATAAAGTGGGCTCGTTATTGATCACTTGGTCCCATAAATACTAAATTCAAGGGTTAACCATAAAAGAACAAATGCCTGAATAGGTATAAGCTGAAAGAAAATGCCATGCCCAATGTAATGACAATATCCTCAACAGTAATTGCCACAAGGCTATTCTTGGTAAGGCTGATATGTAAATAATAAATGCATTAAAAATTTTGCAATCAAGTGAGTTCACCATTGATCGCATGGTCGCTATGTGAAAGGAGTAGAATTTTATCATTTGCAACCTGCAAAAGAAAAATCTTTTTCTTGCCTGCCCAACATAAAGGCCTTTCATCAAAGCCTTCTTTGACCTGTGGGTCATCTCTGGTTTAAGAACATCTACCACAATCGTAAAAGGAACAGGGAAGAGGGCCCCCTTGTCTCATCCTTCTCAGCCCACAAAACCACAAGTTAGACATACCATTGACAATGACCACAAAAGATACTGAAGATGGACACCTTCTAATCTACCTCTGCCAGAGATGACTTTGGTCTTTTCTAAAAATGATTTTGTCTAAAGGAATCACAATTGCTCTATCATAATCTTTTTCAAAGATCAATTTTATAGATCATACCCACACGACAATCCTTCAATCTTACCTGGTTACCCACTCGAGACCAGTGGGTAGGAGTGGATTAGTAGGTAATCCACTTAATTGGCTATTTCTATTCTCCACCAGAAGTGCTGGACAGCCTTGGCCAAGCTCTAGATGAGGAAGTATACCTTGCTTGGAAGAAAACAGAGCCACCGACCTGCTTAACCTACCTCTTAAGCCTCCCTTTTCAAGCTGTCATCTCTCCTTTCAAGCAGTTTTTCCTTAATCTGTCCTTGTTATATTTTGTTCAACAGGTTTGTGTGCTTTTGGTTGGGAGTGGACAGGGACTACTTGGCTGGGATTCTCTGCTGCAATCATAACAGTTATTATCTTTTGAGATAATTGGCAATTGACGTTGTGAAATTGATATTCTCTTTTTCCATTGGAGCCTTCTGTGCTTCAAATAGGATTTGTAGACTCCTCCAAACAAACTGTAAGTTGGGAGCCAATTCTTTCAGAATACTGTTGCATCCTACTTGTTTCACATGATCATTTTTTGTCTCCCTCCCCCAAAGAATTCTATGATTATGAAAAAGCACCTTTTGCCATTTCTCCTTTCTGCAAAGAACGTTCTGTCAGGTTATCTGCACTTCCTCCAGAAGTTCTCCATTTCTTTCAACTCCCATAACCCTATCCTCCATTAAGATTCTCTGGAACCATCCTCTTCCACTCTTAGCAATACTTAAGCAATAAGACTGACCTCCCTCTTTCAAGGCTATTCCAACTTGACAGGGATGTGATTAACTGAAAAATTAGATATTTGTCCCTTCAGTGATAAGGAAGTTAGACTTCTTTTTCCCAATATGCCCAAACATGAAAAGATACAAACAAAAGGAATTGTTTTAGTATTTTTTGTAATTCTCTAACATGGAAAGAAAAAGCAAAAGGAATTGGTTTATCTAATGTATCTCACTTCGAAAAAAAAAAAATAAGGCTAAATATTCTTCTGTTTTTTCTTCTTTTAATTATGAAATGTTTATCATGGCTTTAGTTGATGCCATATAGGTTTTGCTCAATAGCCAAACAGGACCATTTGCCCTGGTTTAGAGGGGTGTAATAGTTCTGGAGTGAGATTGATGCCAAGACTTTTGAAATTGTATTAACTTTTTATTTGTCTGCATACCAGCCTTGTCCTCAGGGGGGAAAAACCTAGGGTCACTTTTGGGTTTGTCCATTAATTTGTACAACCTTGAATATATATGGTACAAGAATAAACTTGCTTCTGGAGTCACCACTGAAAGGGTATTTATGTTTGTAACCAGGGCTGATGTTGAGCTTTATTCTCTCAATCTACATTCTGCAATCATCTCGGGACAAATTTGCTAGGTACTCTTTCCATATCTTGGAAGCTTCTCTTTCTTTTTGAGCTTGTACTGAATGATGCAATCTAAAACCACAAGATATACAGAACTGACATGGTTTGATGAAAGCAGTATCTCTTGTTTTACTAAGGAAATTTTGCTAATTTTACTAGGTTTGTGAGGGAGACAGTGGTGGAAAGCAGCAGCCCCTCTGAAGGAGTAGCAAAAGTTGAATGATGTAATGGTTTGATACGATAGATAGATACTCCTTTTGAGTCCAGGATAATTTTGGGGATAGAGATTTTCTTCATAGCTTGTCTGTTTTTTAAGTTGGTGAGAGTGTAGTTGAATGAGTTGGGGTTTGAACGAGAAGTGAAGTTACAAGCTATGAAAGTGGGTCAGGGTCATTTTGAAGCATAGAATGTCAATGAACAAATTGATTGTATCCTAAGCAAAACCTTTTACTGGAAATATACTAAACTTATGTTTCCTTGCGTTACTGAATTTTATTTATTTATTTATTTATTTATCATTTTTCTGCATCTGGTCCATTTGGAAGGAGGTAGCCGGTCTTAGGGCCGAGCTGAGGTGGTTTGATTTCTCAAATGCTGCAGTAGTTCTGCTTTTCTCATTTTGGGTTTTGAGTGGCATGGATGCCTAAAAAAGGTGGCAAAAATTCAGTGCAGGCTCCCTAAATATGCACCAACAAGACAATCTTTCAAATTTGTAAGTGTTTATAGATAAAAACCTGTAATTGTTGAAAATAAAATTTTAGGTTTAGAAAATAATAATGAGACTGTTGTATGAGTTTGAAAAGAATGAGAAAATTTTGAAAATTCATTTTATTTTTAACTATTATTTTTCAAATCTCATTTTATTTTAAACATACCTTAATATCTTTTATTTTGAAATCACACTGTAATAATTTTTTTTTAAAAAAAAAAAAAAAAAACAAATCAGAGTATTGGGAAAGAGAATATAAACTTACTTTGAGTAAATACAACGGTAAATAAAATAATTGTAACAATTGTTTATTTTTCTCCTTGTATTTCATTTGAGAGTTCTTAGTTTAACACTTGTAAGTGGTCTCTTGAGAAAATTAAATCTTCATTTGGATAACGAAACAATATTTTCTAGTTTTTATTTTATAAATTCAAATATGTTTTTACCTAAATCTCAAGGTTTAATTTAATTAAAATGATTATAAAGTCTTTGTATTTAAAGTTTATGGATTTAAGTAACTAATAAGAAAGTGGTTTGATATTTCCTCTCATGATAGTTTTTTACTCTAATATTGAATTGTTTATGATAAAATTTTTCTGAATTTTAAAGAACATAATATTTAATTGTTTAAGATAAAACTTGTCTTCCTCTAACTCATGTTGCAATATGAATATTAAAAATCAGAGTCTTAAAAAAACATGAAGGAACAATAGACCTTGAGAATTTTTTGTTGAAAGAAATTAGTTTCTGAATTATCTTCTTTCCATGTTTATAATAATTCACGCAAGTTTCTCTTAGGAAACGACTATATATTTTTTGTGCTCATACAACAAAAGTTAAATTTTTTAATAAATAAATACACTCGTACACATAAGAGAGACTATATAGTTATAGCAAGATCATGCTAATAATGCAACCAACTTAAATCTAACTTGGATAACCATACATTGGCCAATTCTTTTCCATTTGTACTAAAATTTTTATGTTTTTTCTCGAATATTCTTAAGTTTAAATCATGTGCCTGCAACAATAGTAATTATAACTAACTTGGATAACTATATAAAGTAGGACAAGAATCACACAATAATTAGGATTTCACTCATTTTGGTCACGTTAAAATCAAGTTTTTTTTTATACTATTCTTTACTTTTAACTTTTTAAATATCATAAGTACTCGTCATTGAGTTTAATTTCTAACTTTGATATGTAGTATTATTAACTAAGATTTTACTCGCTATGGAATGTATAATATTAACTTTATATTTTTACTATATCTCTTTAATATTTATTACTAGATCTCCGATTTTTTTTTCTTCAGTACTTATCATCAACAATGACGATTATTGTTTGATTCATAATATTTACTTTTGAACCACTATTTATTCATTCAGCCAACATGTGTATCAAAATATGCTCATTATAATAGTTAATGCAGTCAGTGTTGGTACACAAAGTTCATCAATCTTTGGATCTCATTGTAAGAGATCATTAAGAGTTTATGCTCTTTCATTGATAGTTCAATCTTTTTTATTATACATGTAGGTACTAGACCAAAGTGGCTAATTTTTGTTTTTTTTTTTGTTTTTTGGGTTCAAAGTATTTGATTACATAACTTTATTTGAGTAATGACCCTTATTTTTATAATGGTTTTTTTTTTTTTTTACAAAATTGGTTGTGACAAATATTTAAAATATAAATTAAAGCTACCCCTCCAAATCCTTATATATTTTCCCATTTTCATTGGTCCTCACAACTTCAATTATTATTTATTTTGCTTCCTAAAAGATTATTATTTCTTTTAGATGACAACTCCAATTATTTGAGTTCGTGTGAGAATATTTTTTTAGAACTAAAAAAAAAAAAAAACCCATCAATTATTTGAAGTTTAAGCTCAAATGAAATGATTAGTGATGATGGTCGTGTCCCCCGGTTCCCCCACACCCACCTGAATTAATTTTTCAGACAATTAGGACTCTCTCAATCTTTCTAGGGTTCTCTTCATAGGGACAGCTTCTATCTAATATATATATATATAAACACACACATATACATACACACGCACGTGATTTAACTTTATTTAAATAAAATATAATTCCAATAACCAATCCACTTCTTAGTTAATAATATAAAAACTAATATATATTCCGTTGTAGTAAAAAAAAAAAAAAAAAAGGGTTTGACAATAATTAAAATTAATTTTGCAAGTTAAATTAAAATCAGTTTGTTATTTTATATTTTATTTTCTGAATTTTATGTATACTATTATAATAACTGATTGGGGGGGGGGCACCGTGTAAGCCATTTCAAAATTGGGAGCAGCCCAGCACAGCACCATTTGCTTTCATATAATTATTTAATTTGCATATAAATAATTAAATTATTTGATTTATAATATGGGAATCTAAAACAAATATTTGATAATATATATTAATTTATAACCGTATAAATATTTTTTGGCATTTACTTACTTAATACAACGTTAAAGTATTATTATTTTTTTAACACAATATAATATATAAGAATTATTAAGATTTTACATTATTTAATATTAAAAAAAAAAAAAAAAAACTAAATTATTTATTGCAAGTAGTCTTTAGAGGAGGCATGCATGTAGTCAATGATGCAGCAGTATATATGTATATGTATATGTATATGTACATGTATAGGCCAATCTGATTAAGCAATGTAGTATTGAGTAGCGCACAAAAAAGTTTGAAAAATAAATAAATAAATACTTTAAATAATTAGTTATGGGATGCAAGTGTGTTATGAGGACCAGCAAGAGATGAGTACGAAAGATGCTGAATCCGGCCAACCAGTGCTGGAGCATATGCTCTTTTTTATTTTATTTATTTATTTTATTTTATATTTTAATTAATTAATTCTTCACAACTTTTTCATTAAATAATTTTGTCAAAATTCAGAAAAATATATGTTTTGTTTTGAAAGTATTTATTTCATTTCATTCAGATATGTAATATTTTATTCAAAATTAAAAAAACATTGAATTTGAAATATAATTTTATTATATATTTCAAGACTAAAACAATAATATTAAAATAAATTCCCATAAGATAATAAAAACTAATTGAGTGTGAGGAAATGGACGTCACATGTTTACGCTTTTCTTTAATTAATATTTATTTACATTTTAACTTATTTTAATCTTTTTGTTATTACAAAAAAGTAATTTCTATTCATCTCATCTTCGAAGAGTACTATGAATCCCTACTGGGGACCACTTACCAACCAATTTAATTTATTATTATTATTATTATTATTATTATGTTACCATTTTTTTTTTAAAAAAATAAAAATTTATACATTCTCTTTATATATTAATAATAATGTACATCATTTACATATGTACCATATATAAATATTTACTCTTTTGTGCATTTTTCGAGCTCTCTTAATTGCATTTTGTACTTATATATATTTAAAGAGTAAAAATTGTAAATTTCTTATTCTTGGGGCATTATAACAAAATTTGCAAAAAAAAAAAAAAAATTATTAACTTTATTTCACATGACAGATGAATTTAATACTTTGATTAAAAAAAAAAAGAAAAATTATAGTTTTCCGAAAATGAATGATGAAAGAGCTTGACACCTTAATAAATAAGTTGTAATATTTTGTAAAATACAAGTTCATTGACAATGAATTTAATATCTTAATAAACGAATTATAATATTCAACAGAAAACAAACAATAAGTGAGTTTAACACCTTGATAGATAATAAAATACGACTTAAAAAAAAGAACGTAAATACAATAATATGATTGAACTTTTATAAAAGAATTTGTACTCTCTTTTCTATTATCTTTACTTTCTATTGTTATTTATTTTTATACGATATTATATTACTGTTCTCATCGCATTGTCGCAAACTTGAGTTATACTCACGTGTATATATCATCTTTCCTATTTTTTGTGTACTTAATTAACATAAATAAATTTTATAAAATTTTATCCATTTCAATACAAATTGAGTAACGAAAATATATAAATTGTAAATAGTTTGTTTATTCCACATTGAAATTGTGTAAAAGAAGAAACATTAGAAATCTGTTCAAAAAGTTTTGAAAAGTTAATAACAACAATTCACCCTCCCCTCCTCTTGTGCTGCCTTAAACATTCATATGAACACTTTTAGTTAATGCTTTATCTAGTTGTATGGTGGATCAGTCAATATGAGATTGGTGGTTAACATAACATATTTACCTAATTGTCTGTTAATAAGCTATTTAAATATAAAATTACCAAAAAAGCGCCAACCCTTAAAGCTATAACTCTATATATATATATATATATAGAGAGAGAGAGAGAGAGACTAAGTAGATAATACTAAAACACCCTCTAAATTAATTCTGATACTTCATTCACTTTAACTATATGGTTGGTTGAGCAGTTCACTTTTCTTTCAATAACATCAGTTGCCACATAAATCAATACATGTGTACATATAATATACACACACACACACACTCTCTGCATTATAGAGTTAACTCTAGTAGTCATTTTCTAAAAGTACATATAATTTAATAAATTATATTAATTCCATAAGTTGTTAAATAGAACAGTACTAATGCTTAAGCCTTTAACTATAATCTATGTCTTTAGGCAACTAAGTATTAATTAACTTTTTTTCTCGTATAAAAAAATATTATGTTAAGAAGTTTCTTCTTTCAAGTACTCTTTGAGGAATATAAAAATGAAAAAGAAAATCACCTTAGCTAACTAAAGGCTAAAGCTTATGGGTGTAATTATTTTCCTCTTATTATAATTAATTCAATTATTTGAATGTTAAATGTATATAAACATATACACATGTGCGTGCATGCGTGCGTGCGTGCGTATGTGTGTATATAAATGTGAAGAATTTTAAAGGAGGCATCCATTATTTGAATTAGTGAACTATATGTATGTGTGTGTGTGTATATATATATATATATATATATAT